GGAGAGAGGGAGAAGGGAGGGAGAGAGGGAGAAGGGAGGGAGAGAGGCAGGAGCCTCTCGCACTTACAGGAAGATGCTGTAAAGCAGGGGAACGCTGGAAATGGCCAGACCCAGAAGAAGAACCAAGGGGAAAAAGAAATTCGCTGTGGAGGCCCGGAACGTGCGGGCGGCCGGAGAGCAGCTGAAGAAGAGGGTGAGCTGGCAAGGGAAGGCACAGAGGAAGGGGATCTGAAACAAGAGTCTGTGCCTCTTTTTTTTTTTTTGAGAGACAGTTTTGCTCTTGTTGCCCAGGCTGGAGTGTAATGGCGCAATCTCGCCTCACCGCAACCTCCACCTCCCGGGTTCAAGCGATTCTCCTTCCTCAGCCTCCCAAGTGGCTGGGATTACAGGCATGCGCCACCACGCCCAGCTAATTTTGTATTTTTAGTAGGGACGGGGTTTCACCATGTTGGTCAGGCTGGTCTCAAACTCCTGACCTTAGGTGATCCATCCACCTCCCAAAATGCTGGGATTACAGGAGTGCGCCACCAGGGCGGCTTTTTTTTTTTTTTTTTTTTAAGCTGGATTCTTGGACTCTCTCGCCCAGGCTGCAGCCTTCCCCTCCCGGATTCAAGCTATTCTCCTGCCTCAGCCACCTGAGTAGCTGGGATTACAAACATGCACCACCTCACCTGGCTAATTTCTTTTTGTTTTTTTGTTTTTGAAACAGTCTCACTCTGCTGCCCAGGCTGGAGTGCTGTGGTACGATCTCGGTTCACCGCAACCTCCACCTTCCTGTTTCAAGCAGTTCCCTGCCTCAGCCTCCAGAGTAGCTGGGATTACAGGCACAGGCCACTACACCTGGTGGGTGGGTAGGTGGGTAGGTGGGTGGGTGGGTGTGTGTGTATGTGTGTGTGTGTGGTTTTAGCAGGGACAGGGTTTCACCATTTTGGCCAGACTGGTCTCGAACTCCTGACCTCAGGTGATGCACCCGCCTCCGCCTCCCAAAGTGCAGGAGTTGCAGGCATGAGTAACCTCACCTGGCCTACCTGCCTATCCTTTTTCCCAAACCAGGAGTCTGAGCCCTTTCCTTATCTGGGGCTCCAAAGTCTGAGTTCCCAGATCCTCAGACATGTAAGTCAGAATGCCTCAGACCCTTCCTTCTCTCACATCCAGGAGTCTGTCCTACAACCCCCTTCTCTTTTAGGACCTAGTAGTCCAGGCCCCCAAAATCTTCCTTGCCCAGGACCCAGGAGCCTCCTGCCTCAGACCCAAGGGTTCCCCCATCCCTTACCTTCTTCAGGTAGAAAAGCAGCAGGAACTTGACCGTGTTAAGCAGGGGCAGTAAAGGGCAGAAAAAACTCCCCACCCAGACCACAGTCTGCGCGTAGATAAGCCCCAGCACCTCGTCGGGCACCTGGAACTCCTGGGTCGCTGCCAGACGACCAAGCGCCCCAGGACAGAGGCCGCAGAGGAGCCTGAAGGAAGGGGTGGGGCGGGGCCGAGCCTAAGTCAGGGGCGTGGTGGCCCGGAGTTCCCCCGCCTTTACAGCCCCACCCACCAATAGGATGCAAGCGTATCTGAGGAGGGGCGGGACTTTCAGGACTCCACGTGGAGGCAGGGGGGTGTGTCCAGAGGGCGGGTCCTGAGGACTAGACTAGACAGGACCCAGGTGTGCGGCGGTAGGGGCGGGGCCAGAGAGAAGGAACTAACTAAAACCAGGATGGGAAGCGGGGCGATCTGCGGACCCAGGGCCAGCAAAGAGAGCGAGCAGAGGCGGGAATAGCAAAAAGCGGGGCGGTGAAAAGGACAGCACGAGGGGGCAGGGCCTGGTCCTGGCAGGGCGGGGCTCTCACTTTCGAGGAAACTGAATGAGCAGCGCGACTGCCAAGCCAGTCAGCAAATCAAAGAGCAGGAGCTTGTACATTTCCTGGCCCACGACAGTCTCCCAGCACTGAAGAAAAAATAAATAGGTCAGAAAGACCTCAGAACCCGGACACCTGGAGGCCCCAGGCGTCCGAGTCTCGACAGCCCAAGCCTATGAGACCCTATTAATACTTTCTCTGGGGGTCCTCGTTTTTCAAACATCCATACCCTTGGGAGAGTGTTCCAGCAACCCAAGCTCCCCCCTCCACCCAAACCAAGTCTGGTCCCACGAAGCTCCTTCTTTCCTTTGGGGACCCTAGCGTCCCAGACAGACCCCACGCCGTTCTCACCGGAAGTTCCTTGTAATTGTAGCCACAGGTTTTGCAGTCCTCAGCCTCGGCGCCGCCCCCACAAGTGATCTGATTCCAGAGAGAGAAGAGCAGGACCACCAGGGAGGCCAGGCGAAGAAACAGGGTCCTGGCGAGGGGAAGGCGGAGGAGAATGGGCCCTGACCTGGTACCCACCACGTGGTGGTTCCCTTCTCAGTGGAACGCGCTCAGATTCAACCCAGCTCACAGATGAAGAAACTGAGGCCCAGTTTCAGAATCAAGATTTTTCTTTAAACAGGG